CACCACTTAGCTGCCCCAAGAAGCTATCTCTGTTATTATTATTATTATTATTATTATTGTTATTATTTTTAGGCAATTGGGGTTAAGTGACTTGCCCAGGGTCACACAGCTAACGAGTGTCAAGTATTTGGTCTGAGGCTGGATTTGAACTTGGGTCCTCCTGACTTCAGGGCTGGTGCTCTATCCACAGCGCCACCTAGTTGCCCCTCACTCTCAGTTTTTCCTCTACTTCTCTTACTTGCTTCTCAAAATCCTTTTTGAGCTCTTCTATGGCCTGGGACCAATTCATATTTTTCTTGGAGGCTTTGGATGTAGGAGCTTTAGTTTTGTTGTCTTCTTCTGGTTGTATGTTTTGATCTTCTTTGTCATCAAAGTAAAATAATATAGTCTGACTCTTTTTGAGCTGCTTACTCATGATCTCAGCCAATTAGTTATAAACTCTTTGTTAAAGTAGGAGTCTGTTTCCAGTGTGGAGAATGTACTGTCCCAAGCTTCAGGGGTTTTGTGCCGCTGTTTTCAGAGATACTTCTAGGGACCTGTAAATTTTCAGTTTTTCCAAGGTGCTATGATCAAGGGCGAGGTGTTTACTCCTTTCCTGGCCTGTGCTCTGGTCTATGAGCACTCTTTTCCATCTTGGAACTGTGAGGGGGGTTTCCTCTCCACAGCCACTACAAGCTCCACCACACCAGCGCTCCTCCTCACCCCAGGACTGCCACCCAGAACTGTGACCCAGATCCAAGCAAGGGCAAAACAAGAGAATCCTGCAATCCCCCTCTGATCAGCCACTCAATTCCCCCTCAGTCTGTGGGCCAAAAGCTCAGGAGGCAGCTGCTGCCCCAGGAAATGGGGCTGGAACCCCACCATCCTCTCTCAGCACTGAGGAAACAGACTTTTCCCACTGACCTTCATGGGTTGTCTTTGGCCTTCATGGGTTAAGAAGTCTGGAAACCACCACAGCTGCCTGTGATTCAGCCCTCTGAGGCCTGCTCCAGGTTCACTGCAGCCTGCGCACCCACGCTGAACTGTGCTCCTCTCCCCACCCAGCGAGATATACCTTTCTAATTAACCATCCAGGCTGTCTTTGGCTGGAAATTTGTTTCACTCTGTCTTTTTGTGGGTTCTGCTGCTTTAGAATTTGTTTAGAGCCATTTTTTATAGGTATTTGGAGGGGCTTGGGGGAGAGCTCAAGCAAGTCACTGCTTTTACTCCACCATCTTGGCTCCACCTGTAAGTTTCTTTAGGACAGAAGTGGTTTTGCTTTTTTGTCTTTGTATCTCCAGAACCTGGCACATAAAAGATGCTTAATAAATGTTCAGACAAATTAAATTTCTGCTCTGTTCTCTGTGGATTTTCAAAAGGGCACAGCCAATAAAGGTTACTAATATTTAACATACTTCCAAGGCAAAACATGATTTGTTAACTCACATATTCTATTTATCCATATGTATTTCCTCAAAAGTTTTTTAAAGTTTGTTTTTGATGAAATGAAATGGTCCTAGTAAATTTCAGGAGTTGCTGTGATGTTGGTTGGCCCTAAGGATAGGACAAAGGTTGCCAAGGAAGGTTCCCAGGAGTCTTCTTTCCAACACAAAGCACTGGCTACAGAAGCAGTTGATCCTATGAGTTACTATGCTGTCACCAAGGGTGACTTCAGCTCTGTAAAGGGAGAAATAGAACTTGTTGGCAGCTTGTCTGCTAATGTGGTGGCTGTCTGAATGCCCTGAAGTTGTGACAGGATTCAAACATCAGCAATCAAAAGATTTCTTCTTCATTTACCTCCACGTATGCCCCTAATACTGAAATTAATAACAATGACAATTAAAGAAGAGTAACTGACTCAAACAAGTGGAAGGCTTGAAAAGCAGCATGGTACAGTGGATTGGGCAGTGGTGATGAGATTTAGGGGTTCAGGGGTGCTGAGACCCCAAAATCACAAGCGGGTCCTCCCCAAAAGTATTCGACCCAAGCCTTCTTTCAGCCAAAGACAAGGTTTATTAGGACATCCGTCATATTGGGCAGATTCTTAAGGAGTCTGAACGTTATTGAGCTATTGGTTAGACTCTAAGAATCTAAGCAGTGGCTTGATTATAAGAATCAGAGGGCTTAGATTCTTAAAATCTAGCCACTGCTCAGATTCTTATAATCTAACCACTGCTTACCCATGTTCAGACTCCTTAAGAGTCTGCCCAGTTGATGGATGTTCTAATAAACCTTGTCTTTGGCTGAAAGAAAAAAAAAAAAGAATCAGAGCACCTTAATGGAGACAGGATGGACCTTATATACATTAAGACTATGAGAGGGATCTAGGAGTGGCCAAGTAGTCTATGAGGTAATAGAATTCCAGGGACCTGGACCTCATTGGCCAAGGGAGAATGGAGCCTAGATAGGATTAAGGGTGGGAAGTGGCCTGGAGCCATAGGGCCCTCCATGATGAAAGGCCAGTTGATTGGATTATAGCCTCAGGGGAACACCAGAGATTTGGCCTTGTGGGAAAGTCCAGGGTTTTTCCTTTTTTGGGGTCTAGATCCCAACCTCGTCAGTGGAATTGGAAGCAGGAAGACCTGTGTTCAAATCCTGCTTCAGAGTCTTATTAGTGGAATAAGCCACTTAACTGCTTTGTGCCTCAGTTCCCACATCTTTAAATAAGGTGGTGGGCTATCTGGCTTTTAAGGTCCTTTCTAGCACTAAATCTATGATACTAGGCAAACCCCTCAACAAGAATAGGGAAGTTAGGAAACAAACAACAGGCATTTATTTAGCACCTGGTATGTGTCAGGAAGCAGGGTAGATTTTAGCAAAAAGTATTTCTATATGTTTAATTGGAGATCCCTATCAGCTCCCATGGATTTAATTACCATCTCTATGCTGATGATTCCCAGATCTACCTTTCCTGCCCCCAATCTCTCTCCTGACCTCCAATCATGCATCTCCAGCTGCTTTCAGACATCTAGAATGGGATGTCCAGCAGACATCTTACATTCAATTTATCCATTATTATACTCATTATTTTTCCCTCTCTTCTTTACTACTGAAGAGGGCAACACCATCCTCCCAATCACTTAGGAGTCATCCTGGACACCTCACTATCTCTCACTCCCCCTCTTCCCCCTACCCCCAACACTGAGCCGTGGCCAAGGCATTTCACCTTTCCAGTATCTCTCAAATATAGCCTTTTCTCTCCTTTGACCAAGTCACCACTCTGATGCAGGCTCTCATCATTTCACCGTTGGGCTATTGTAATAGCCTGCTGGTGGGTCAGCCTGTCTCAAGTCTTTCCCCACTCCAATTCCATTCTCCATTCAGGCACTAAAGTGAATTTCCTCAAATACAGGTCTCATCATATCACTCTCCACTCAAACCACAGTGGCTCCCTATTGCCTTCAGGAGAAAATACAAAATGCTCCATTTGGCATTCAATACCCTTTATAATATAGTCCCCTTCTATCTTTTAATCTTCTTATACCTTACACCCCAACATGTACTTTTTAATATAATGACACCGGCCTCCTGGCTGTTCCATGTACAAGACACTCCATCTCTTGGTTCCAAGCATTTTCTCTGCCTGGCTGTGCCCCATGCCTGGAATGTTCCCCCTCCTTTGAACTAACTAATGCTCTCTTTGGCTTCCTTTAAAGTCCCAACTAAAAACCCTCCTTCTACAGGAAGTTTTCCCTAATCTCTTTAAATTCCAGTGCTTTCCTCTTTTAATTATTTCCTTTTGATCCTGTGTATAGTTTGCCTTGAATATATTTGTTTGCATGTTGTCTCCCAATTAGATTGTAAGCTTCTTGAGGGCAGGGGAACCCGAGTTCAAATCCAGCCTCAGCTGTGTGACCCTGAGCAACCCTGATTTCATCCACAAAAAACAACAAAATCCAACTGTCTTTTGACTATTGTTTGCTTCTTTTTGTATCCCCTAGTATTTAGCACAGTGCCTGAATTTAGTAGGCACTTAATAAATGTTTACTGATTGATATTGATTGATTGCCTTCCCAGATGTCCAAAAGGCAGTTGGTGATGGAAGAATATAGCTCAGAACAAAGATATGAATATGCAGATATGGAATTATTTGCATAAAAGCATAATTGGACCTATGGGAGTTGATGAGGTCTCTTTGGAAAAGTATATGGGGAGGACAGGCCAGGATGGAGCCTTGGAGTGATCCATACACATCAAACAAGACATGAATGATGATGCTGAAAAGAAAACTTAGAGTGATCAGACAGGTGGGAGAATAACCATGAGACCAATGTCAGGAAAACCCTTAGAGAAGAGAGTGGTCAGCAGTCCACTGAAATAAGCAGCTAGGTGGGGAACTGGGTAGAGCACTTTGTTCAAATGTGCCCTCAGACACTTAAGAGCTGTGTGACCCTGGGCAAGTCATACAATCTCACTGCCTTAGTTTCCTCATCTGTAAAAAGGTGATAATAATAGCATTTACTTCTCAGAGTTGTTCTTGAGGATAAAATGAGGTATCTATAAAGTGCTCTGCAGACTTTACAGCACCTTATCAATGCTAGCTGTTATTTCAGATCTGTATTTTAGGGTCAGGTTTAAATAATTTTTAACCAGCTGAACAAAAGTTGCTTGGTAATGGACATGTTGAAGTGATCCTGAGCAAGCTGACAAGCGCTCTGTCCAGAAGCAGTAGAAGCACTTTAAGTGGGGACACAGTGCTTTACCACAGGACAGTGGGCAGTTCCTGCCCCCAGACTGGTCATCTGTGCTGCTCCAGCCCTGGGACAGGAGCCGCCCAGACCCGGCCGACTCTGAAGCATCACGCGAAACAGCCAGCAGAGGGAGGAAAGGAAGGCGAGTCCGAGGAGCAAAGTCAGGCCCCGCCCACGAGAGGCTGCCCCGCCTTCTCCGCGCCCCCAAGGAGGGAGGCTTGAAGACTTAGCTCCGCCCCCGGATCGGTGCTCGCCCCGCCCCCAAGAGCTTGGCCCCCCCCACCTCCCATAGGTCTCTTCCACGAGGCTCCGCCCCCAGCTCAGGAAGCAGGGAACGGTGTCAACGTAACACCGTCCCGACCCGCTTCTTTCCTTCCTTCCTTCCTTCCTTCCCTCCTTCCGCCTGCGCTGGTACATCATGGCATCTGGACTGGTGCGGCTGCTTGTCCGGGGGCCCCGCGGCCTCCTGCGGGCGTCAGCCGCTCCGGAGCCCGTCCAGTCGAGCCGGGGCATCAAGGGCGGGATCCGCGCCGCGCTCCGCTTCCAGAAGGAGGTGGAGCGGCTGCGGCAGCTCAGGTGTCCTCCGCCTCCCGTGCGCCGGTAGGTTCGGGGCCCGGGCGGTGTGACCGAGCGTGTGTTCGTGCGCATGCGCGGGGGTGGGGGAGGGTAACGGGAAGACAGACCCCCCCCGGCCCTCCCCACCCCCACCCCGCATCTCCCCGGCTGACTGCGGCCGCAGGAACTCCGGGAACCTGTCTCGGACCCGTCACTTCCCGTAGAGGTCATCCGGGTCAGGCCCTTACTTTGACAGATGAGGAAACTGAGGCTCAAGAGAGGCGAAGGTGCTTGGCTGAAGGGCGAAGAGGAGTAAGGAGGGGTGAAAGGGAACAGTCATTTATTAAGCGAGTACAGTCCAGATCAACCCTGGGAGGTAGGTGCTATTGTGATCCCCATTTTATAGTTGAGGAAATTGAGGTAGGCAGAGGTTAAGTGACTTTCCCAGGGTCTCAGCTAGTATTTGAACTCAGGTCTTCCTGACCCCATCCCAGGAAGTCAGGTCCTGGAACTAGTGTCACACAGGTGGTTAATGTTTGACATTCATTGGATTGGAAGCTCCTTAAGGGCAGGAACTTTCTTTGCCTCTTTTTGTATCTCCATCAATTGGTACAGGGTGTGGCACATAATTGGCGCTTAATAAATGTTTATTGATTGAGCTAGTATTGGAGTCCAGTTGCTCTGACTCCAGATCCCATGTTTATTCCAGCAAATCACTCTCTAATCCTGTTAGAATTTATTAAAACTGAAATAAGGTAAAATGTTGACTAAAAAGCATATTCTTCCCTACCTAAGGCTAGAAACAGTATCTCTCTCTTTTTTTTGCCAAATAGTCATCAGTAGTAAAAATCCTGTGATCTCTGAGGTCAGTCAGTCAACAAGCATTTATTAAGCACTTTTTTTTTTGTGAGGCAGTTGGGGTTAAGTGACTTGCCTAGAGTCACACAGCTAGTGTCTAAAAAGTGCTTAATATGGGGGCAGATAGGTGTTGCAGTGGATAGAGCACTGGCTCTGGAGTCAGGAGAACCTGAGCTCAAATCCGGCCTCAGACACATAATACTCACTAGCTGTGTGACCCTGGATAAATCACTTAGCCACCCAATATTTGCCTCAGTTTCTTCAACTGTAAAATGAGGTTAATAATAGAGCACCTCCCTGACAGGGTTGTCATGAAGGTCGAATGAGATAATATTGATAAAAAGGATCTAGCATGGTACCTGGCATGTAGTAGGTACAGATCCTTTCCCTTTTATGTTCCAAGTTCCATTTTAAGTGCTGAGGATACAAAGTAAGGCAAAAACACAGCCCCTGCCCTCAAGGAGCTCATAGACAAATGGGAACAACATTAGATCCATAAGTACCTAGAAGATAAATTTGGTGTAATTGGGAGGTGATTTCATAGGGAAATCACTAGTAGTTGGGTGAAAGTGCATCTCTGCAGGTGGGATTTGAGATGAGTCTTTGGGGAAGGCAGAGGTGAGAATGGAGAACATTCCAGGTGTGGGGTTACAGAGGCATGAGTGTCACATGTGGATGGAATATCATGACATGTTTGAGGAGTATTCTTTGATTCTGAGTACCCAGAGTGATTAGATCTGGCTAAAGTCACTGGGACGTACTGTTCTCTTTCCATTTCTCTAGATGTCACTTCCATAATTTGTGCCTTCCAGGCCTGGGAATCCCTCTCTAGGATCCCTGAGGGCTAGATGATATGGCTTGTTTGGGGAAGATCATAGAAACCTGGGAAAGACCTTATGTCATTTTGTCTAACCCTCTCACTTAATAGGTAAAGATAGCTGACTCAGAGGGATTACATGATGTGACCGTCACCATGGCATATGAGCTAGAAAAAGACATTGCGGAGGGGAAAAAATGGTATACTTTGAAAACTCCATGGATTGGGGGAGATGGAGATTCTTGGTAAAATCTAGAGCTTCTAAATTAAGACACTTTAACTGTGAGGAGTTGCCAGATTAGAGCTACTTTTCAAAAAATTAATCTAGCTATTTAAATTTCAAAAAATTATAACCATTATTAAGTCTTGATTTATTTAAGTTTTGAAAATCAGTACCTCAAGTGGGGATAGCCATTTTTCTAGTTGTTTCTTGTAGTTGGAGAAGGAATGACATTTCTTTTTTTATTATTAATTTATTATTGGTTTTCAGCAATCACTTCCATAAGCTTTTGAGTTTTAAATTTTCCTCCACCTCCCTCCCCAAATCGGCATGCAATCTGATATAGGCTCTACGTATACTTTCCTGTTAAACATATTTTCACATTAGTGATGTTGTAAGGAAGAATTCAAACTAATAGGAGGAACCACAAGAAAGAAGAAAGAAAACAAAGCAGAAAAAAAAAGCAAATCGTATGCTTCAATCTGCATTCAAACTCCATAGTTCTTTCTCTGGATGTGGATAGTATTTTCCATCATGAGACCTTTGGAGATGTCTTAGATCCTTGCATTGCTGAGAAGAGCTCAATCTCTCAAAGTTAGTCATTGCACAACATGGCTGCTACTGGGTACAATGTTCAGGTTCTGCTCACTTCATTCAGCATCAGTCCATACTAGTTTTTCCAGGTTTTTCTGAAGTCTGCCTGCTCATCATTTCTTGTAGCACAATAGTAAGGAATGACATTTCGTTCTCTCTGTCTCTCTTTTTTTTTTTTTGGCTAGGCAGTGGGGTTAAGTGACTTGCCCAGGGTCACATAGCTAGTAAGTGTTATGTGTTAGAGGCCACATTTGAATTCAGGTCCTCCTGACTCCAGGGCTGGTGCTCTATCCACTGCACCACCTAGCTGCTCCCAGGATAGGAATGACATTTCTTAAAAGGGAAATTATTCTTTCAAGATAAAATTTATAGTTTTGCATTTTCAGTGTTTAATCTCTTGCTCTGTTCTTTTTTTTTTTTTTCCATTTTCAGTTCAGAGAAGCCCAACTGGGACTATCATGCAGAAATCCAGGCATTTTGTCACCGACTACATGAAGACTTTTCTTTAGAGCTTCTCAAAACTGCCTTTGTTAACAGATGTTACATTGAAAGTGAGGAAGCCAGACGACAGAAACTGGGAGTAGGCAAAGAAGTTGTGGCTCTCAACCTTAAAGATAATCGGGAACTTTCAGAACAAGGGAGAACTTTTTCACAGACATGTCTCACACAGCTCCTTGGAGATGCATACCCAAGCCTGCCCTCAGAAGGTGTACAAGCAATTGTGGATTTTCTTACCAGTGAGGACATTGTGTGTCACGTAGCCAGAAACTTGGCTGTGGAGCAATTAACACTAAGTGCAGAATTTCCAGTCCCCCAGGTAGTCCTCCAGCAGACTTTCTTTGCAGTAATAGGTGCGTTGTTGCAAAGCAGTGGGCCACTGAAGACATCAGTTTTCATCAGGGTATGTAATTATTTATTACTTATGCTTTTGAGGTAGAGTTTATTTAAACAGCTACACTTTGAAATCACACAGTCTTTATTTCTGATAACTGGTTATTTGTGAAGATACTTGGATAATTTAAAAACACTGTTCCCAAAACTAGGTATAAACAGTAAGAAAAATCATAATGGAATAGGTTTGTATTTTTATTTTTTTTGTTTCTGTTAAAATGTTAGACAGAATTATGAGCAGTCCTATGACTAACTGTCTTTAGAACCATCTGCCCAAGTATGCACAAGTTCTCATTCAATTTGATAAATATTTATTAGGTGCCTACCATGTACAAGAAATTGTGGGGTGGTGGTGGTGCTGATGGTGGTGATGGTAGTGATGGTAGTGATGGTGATGGTAGTGGTGGTGATTCGTTTCAGTCATTTCCAACCCTTCATGACCCCATTGGGGTTTTCTTGGCAGAGATACTGGAGGGGTTTGCTATTTCCTTCTCCAGCTCATTTTACAGATGAGGAAACTAAGGCAAACAGGATTAAATGACTTGCTTAGGGTCACACAACTGGGAAGTGTCTGAGGCCAGATTGGAACTCAGGAAGATGAGTCTTCCTGATTCCGGGCCCAGCTCTATCCGCTGCAGCACCACTTAGCTAACCTCCCCCCCCGAAAAAATTGTACATTATACTCAATATCAGCATATGAAGATTACCAACCTCTTATTATTGACCCACTAATTCAAGTGATATTTGATTGAAAAAAAAAGCCCAACAAAACTGCAGTTGGGTTCATAGAATCTTTGGAGATATGCTGTAATGGAATTTGACTGTTAGCTCAATGTTGCTAAAATGTGGGTAGATTTTATTTAGATAGTAATAAATTATTACAAATATTTTCACATAATAACAACTGGAATTTACATAGCAGATGACCCCCTGATGTGTCTATCTAGCTCTGGCATCTCCTGAACTCCAGGACCTGCCTATTCAATAGTTCAAACAGGACGTGTCTAAAATGCAACTCATTCTCCATTCCCGTAAACCCTCTTTTGCACTTCCCTGTGTCTGTCAAGGGCATCACCAGACTTCCAATCATGTAAGTTCACAACCTCGGTGTCTTGTTGCTTTCCCTGATTTCCTATCACTGCACATATTTATTTATTTATTTATTTATTTGTTTGGTTGTTTGTTTGTTAAGTCTTGTTGATCTTCCCTTCTATCTAATATCTGTAATGTTACTTTTATCTACAGGACTTCTTAATTACACAGATGACTGGAAAAGAACTTTTTGAAATGTGGAAGGTTGTAAATCCCATGGGACTACTAGTGGATGAGTTGACAAAAAGGAATATTTCTGCTCCTGAACCCAGAATTACTAGGCAGTCTGGAAGCAGCACAGTGTTGCCACTGTATTTTGTTGGTTTATACTGGTTAGTAAAGTTTGCATTTTTATCTTATGGTATTGTTTGTAAATTTTAACAAAATTATATTGAAATATATTGTAATTATTGCAGAGAAAGATGGCTTCTCAGACCCTACTTTCCTAGAGATATCACTGAGTAATCTGCATGACACCTGTCTTGAGAAACATGACCTGTGCTATTTTGTTGATCTTCTGTTAGTTTCAATCCTGAACGCTGAGTTTTGTAAGGTATATGATGACCTAAGAGGTTCTCCATAAAATTTCAGGGTCTGAGATATATTTGCTGTATTCATTGACCCTGCGCTGCTCTTGGCACTTAGCTGTTGTAACCACGAGGCACCTGGTTTTTAATCATCCAGTTGGCTTTTAGTAGGGGAGGCTCTGTTCAGCTACAGAAAGAACTACTGTCTGCATTTGGTTCAAAGTTGGGAAGTTTTTGGTTTGTTTTTTACTTTAAAAAATCAGCTTGTACACTGATAAATGAGAATGTTCACAGTTTTTTTCAAAAGGCATAATATATCTTTTTTTAAACTTTGTATATGTTGTTAATCTACTAAGGTCTCCCTCTGATTCTCAGTTATGATACAGAAATTTTCATGCAGGTTCTCAAAGACTGTGTTGGCAAACAGCAAGCTCTTCTGGGTCCTACCAAGCCATAAAAGCTTTAGTTATGGCCTGACAGTGGACTGTGCTTGTTGTCCAAGGATTAGCTTAGCTAAGTTGCAAGAGGCTTACCATGTTTTTCTCCTGGAGTAATTGTAGAATACACTTTACCAAGTCATAGAGGGTTATGATCTTCATCCATGGAGATGGCACTTGCTTACATAAATGAAATCACAGATTCTTGAAATGTATGTGTTTAACACATTCTTACCCAGCTCTCATTCCCTTGCTCATTCATATACCATTGTTTCAGTTTGGTTTAAATTTGAATGTCGCTTAATCTTAATCTCAGCCAAGTTAAGGCAGTGTTGCTAAATCAGTACAGTTGTTTCATATTTAGAAAGCAAGTTTTGTAGCAGTTCTTTGTCTGTAATAGACCTGCACAGGGACCAACTTGAAAGCCTAGTCCAGTGAGTGATTTGTTAATGATACTGAAATCTTAGAAAAGGTTTTTTAATAATGAAGACGATGCAGAATCCATTAAAATCCAAAAGTGTTGTTGTTAAGTTGTTTTGAGTCGTGATCAAATCTTTGTGACCCCATTTGGGGTTTTGGCAAAGATGCCAAGTGGTTTGGCCATTTCCTTCTTTACCTCATTCTACAGATGAGGAACTGAGGCAAACGAGGTTAAGTGACTTGCCCAGGGTTACACAGGTAGTAAGTGTCTGAGACAGGATTTGAACTCAGGAGGATGAGTTTTCCTTACTCCAGGCCTGGCACTCTATCCATTGCAACACCTAGGTGGCTAAAATCTAAAAATACCTGTATTAAAAAAATCAGTGTCACCTCTAGTGCAGGATTGCTTTACCTTTTTTTTTTTGGTCGTAGACCCCTACTGACAGTTTGGTAAAGCCTATGGACTCCTCAGAGTAATGTTCTTAAATATAGATTACAGAGAAAACCAATCAGTTGTATTGAAATAGTTATCAAAATATTAAAACAAGCTCATAGACCTCTAGTTAATGTTATCTCCAGATGGCAATCAGAATGCCTGTCCAATGCCTGCATATAGTAAGATTGAATATTGACATTTAATGGTTGTTTTTACTTTCTTTCTAGTGAAAAGAAACTGATTGCAGAAGGACCTGGTGAAACAGTACTGGTTGCAGAAGAAGAAGCTGCTCGGGTAGCCCTAAGGAAACTTTATGGCTTGGCTGAGAATAGGCGGCCTTGGGACTATTCCAAACCCAATGAAAAATTAGCGGAAAAAGTTATTGTCTCGAATTAATTGTCCAAAAGCATGTTAGCACTTGAATTCACCAAAGGAGCAGAAAAATGAGACGCAAACTTCAGCGTGACTTGGAAAATATGACAGTTCCCAGATTGTTCAGAGACATCTTCCTCTGTCAGGGGCTTGTCAGATTACCAGAGAGTCAGTTACTGTTCAAAAATGGTTACTGTGAAATCCTTTCAAGTTTAAGTCATATTTGTTGGCCTCTTTAGAAGAAGTTGCTCTTAAAGTTCTGGATTTATCACTGTGTGATTTGTAGAATGGTATGCTTTTTCATTTAATTATTTATTCCCTTCTAGCTTTGAAGTGTTATGGCCTAAAGAAATATTTTTTAGTTCAAGTCCCAATAATACCAATTTTTAAAAAAATTTTTCGAATACAACTAATCTTTATTTTCCAAAATGTTACTTGCCAATTTAATTTAAAGCATGTTGTTAACAGGTCGACTGATTTGGCCTACTTAATAAAACAAAACAGTATGGTATAACTTTTAACATCACCGGAAAGGCAAAAGCCAAATTGTGACAGTTATACAGTAAGGGTGAATGGCTTAAAATTTTGTGAGCTAATCAGGCAGTAAACTAGAATTCTAAAGTAGTAAATAAAGGAGAATGTTCAAGGCTATTTTTTAAAATCGCCCTAAGAACATAAACTTTAAGACCACTTTGAAGATTGTAAATAATTGTTAATTCAATGAATTTAGAATTAGGAGGATAATGTATTACTATAAATACAAACATTTTTGTTTCTATAATGTCTGGAGGAGAAAGCTTTCCCTTCAATATTGTCATTTTATGTTTTTTATTCGAAACATCCATCTTGCTGTTTGGGAAAAAACTATTTCTGTATATGTCCTTACTTTGAAATAAAGTGGTTTATGAACTTTTTAATTAAAGTTCTCAAATGTCCTTTATAAAAGGGTTTGCAGTTTTTTTTTTTTATTTTTTAATAGTATTTTGTATTTTCTTTATGTGTAAAGACAATTAAATTTTCTTCCCTCTTTCCCCTCCTCTCTTCCTAAAATGGTAAGCAGTTTGATATAGGTGATATATGTGCAATCATGTAAAATATATTTCCATACTAGTCACAGTTGTGAAAGAAGAAATAGACCAAAGAAGGAAAAAAGACATAAAAAAAGTAAAGTGCAAAAAGTATGCTTCAATCTGCATTCAGAGTCCATCAGGTCTTTATCTGGATGTGGATAGCATGAAATTTTTTTTAAAGAAGCATTTTAGTAAAATGCAAGACCTGGAAAGGAAGTAGTCTAATAATTTCTTTGTATACTTGGCAAAAAAAATAATATGAAAAGAACTTGAAATTTACAACTAGTTCTTGGGCCATCCAGCTGTTAAATTTGCCCAGAGTAAATCCTACTGTGAGGTTATTTTTTTGTTTTTTATTTTTTCTGTCTAGGCAGTGGGGTTAAGTGACTTGCCCAGGGTCACACACCTAGTAAGTGTCAAATGTCTGAGGCCGCATTTGAACTCAGGTCTTCCTGACTCCAGGGCTGGTGCTCTATCCACTGTGCCACCTAGCTGCCCCTACTATGAATTTTAAAATGCAAATAGAGAAAAAGGAACAATTGATTTATTCCATAGATCTAATAGATATCAGTGAGAGAGATCATATAGGTCCCCTGCTGAGGGGAAAAAGAAAAAAAAATGTTTACTGGGTTAGTCTCAGACATGCCAAGAAGAAAATTAGGTACCATCAACGACTTGTTACGTAATTTATTTGTTTTTTTGTTTTTGTTTTTTGCTTTTTGGTCAGGCAATTGGGGTTAAGTGACTTGCCCAGGGTCACACAGCTAGTAAGTGTCAAGTGTTTGGTGTGAGGCCGGATTTGAACTCAGGTCCTCCTGACTTCAGGGCCGGTGCTCTCTGCACTGCGCCACGTAGTTGCCCCTTGTTATGTAATTTATGAGAAATAAAACCAGTACTTGAGTTTAAGTCAGGACTAGAACAAAAGGATATTAGACACTTTTTTTTGAGATTGTAACTGATTACTGTAAACTGTTCACCAATTTTCTAAATGTATAACAATATCATTCCTCTTCAAAAAACTGTTTAGCCCTAAAGATCTAAAAATAGTAAAATGTAAAAACTTCATGTAAAATAACAAATCATTTCCTGTCACTGCTTCATATTTGGATATCTGAGCGCAGCATAGCCGTCCTGAGAATTTAAGCATTAAACTTAAGTTTATTCCATAAAGAGTGAACTAAGAAGTATGACTTTTCCAAATAAAATTATGGCAGTCATTCTGATCTTGACCACCAGATGGTGCTCTGACCATTTCTTTTTACATAGAGAAATTGTTATTTTAATCTTGTGAAAAAAAGGCTAATCTTCCAAAGCAACAATTAAGTGATTTATATTAAGGATAAACCCACTGTAGGTAGAGTCTGGCTTTATAACCAGATTTCTTCTTCAGTTTTAAGCGCTCATCTATTAAAACCCCAACCCTAACCAAAAAGCTAACCCTGTTTTCTGGTTTCTTTCTTCTGGATGCTTAGTGACAACTGTGAATCTGCCATTACTGCTTTAAAACAAAACAAAAAAACCCAAACCTTTAATGAGCTAGACATCATCTACCAAATAAAGACTAACACCTTGGCCTAGCATTCAGGACATGCTAGTCAGAAACCTGCTTTTCCAGCTTTACCTTATTTCTTCCCTTTACCAAGCTTAGGTTTTGGACAAACTAGGCAAAGGTAATCTGTTTCCCGAAAACATCCTTTTTTTTCCCTCTTCTCTCTTTGTATACACTTTTCTCCACCTGAAATGCCTTCTCCCATATTTCTCATTATTGAAGTCTGCCTACCGTCATCCACTTTACAAAAGACTTTTGAGAACTTTAAAAAGTTTGTAGTCATGCCTGGCCCAGGTTACCTTTCTTTCATGTGGTCTTTCTGAGTCATAGCATCGTATATTTAGAGCTCAAAGGGACGTCAGAGGTCATTGGGTCCAACCTTATTTTACGCCTGAGGAAACTGAAGGAGACAGATATGTGACTCACCCATGGTCACACAGCTGGTCAGTTATCTTAGCCAGGAATTGAACTCAGGTCTTCTGAATTCACTAGCTGCTTGAAACCTATATCTGAAGTGGCAACCTATTATTTCCAAAGGCAGCCCATTAAACCTTCAAATAACGAATTGTTTTGGGTTATTTATTTGTATCCAGTTTTGTGCATTCACATAGACTAGGTGGGTAGGTATAGATCTAAATAGAGTTTAGGACGGAGTCTTCACTTATTCTAGTGTAGATAGAATCCTGGATTTTGCCTACATTGCTTCCAACACCTTAAGCTCTGAAGTTACCACACGTTCCTGGAAGGTTTGATGGCATGTTCAATAAGGAAGTTATTGTGAAGGCTTATACTGACCCCACAAAAAGTCTAGGAAGAGCATCAGAGAAAAAACATGCTTTCGTTAAAGACATTGCGATTGTATCTGGAAGGAACGAAACGAGATCAAGAATGGAAAATTAAGGGAGTACAGAATAGCAAGGAAAATAGACACATTAAAACAGACAGTGGAAACCTCGTTAAAGAACTGAATGCTCTGAAATTAAAATAATAACTCAATAGTACAACAAACACTGGGAATACAAAGAAAGTCCCCCTCCCCCCCAAAAAAAGTCCCCCAACAAAAACAAACAAAACCAGGTCTTGATATCAAGAAGGTAATATTCTAATGGGAGAATAACATAACAAAAAAAAAAAAAACACTCCACTGTACAAACAAGATATTTAGAAGTGTCAGAAGCCTGAGAAGCTAGGAGGCAGAAGGGAGAGAATTCTAGGTATGGGGGTCAACAAGTGAAAATATTTAAGACTTGGGAAATGGAGCATTTGTCATGTCTGAAGAATAGCAGGGAGGCCAATGTCTCTGGATCCGAGTGTGGTGGGGAAAAAGGCATGAGAAGAATGGGCCAGGTTATAAAAGCCAAACAGAGGATTTCATATTTGATATTGTAAGTAATAGGGAGTCACTGGAGTTTATTTAATAGTGTTGTGGTATGATCAGATTCACATTTTAGGAAGATCAATTTGACAGGCGAGTGGAGGATAGATTGGAGTGGGCAGAGTCTTAAGGCAGGGAGATCAACTAGCAGACTACTATAATAGTTCAGGCATAAGATAATGAGGGCCAATATAGTAAAAAATGACAATGCTATTTAAATTAATTTACTTATTCAGGGCTATTCCAATCACAATCCCACAAGGATACTTTATAGAGCTAGATAAATAATAACAAGATTCATCTACACATGGTATTTTGTAAATTGGAAACAACACATGGCTGCTCAAAGTTGAATAAATGCTAAAAATCAAGGGGAAAATAGGATTCATTTAAAGTAAGATTTGCTTTACAGAAAACTTAACTACTCGAATGAACAAGACATATTTCTACTTAAGGGAAATTAAGATATAATTACATCAATTATATAGATGTTAGATTCAGTTTATTGAGTACAAGATGATAGCATATGAGGCTAACAGCAGTAACAATAGGGAGGATAATAGTGCAGAAATCTGGTTAACTACCATGAGGATATATTTTCTGGCAATTATGTCCATGAAATTCCTCCCTACATTCTATTATCTGAGATCTCAAGTAGTAACTCCAAGTTTATTCCCTGAATGGGTCTAGGAGGAATCAATTGATCAATCAACAAAACTTATTAAGTACCTACTATTTGTCAGGCACTGTGGTGAGTGTTGGGAATACAAAAAGAAAAGTGAAAAAGTCCTTGCCCTCAAGGTTACAGCTCTAATGGAGGAGACAACTTGTACATATTTTATACAGAATATATCAGACTCTAAGAACCACTATTGTTGTTCATCCTTTGTTTTTGAAGAGGACCAGTGACATTATGGGTGATGATTTGCTCATAAATTGGATTTAAGTGAAGCAGAGTTGCACAAAGTCATCAGCCTCACTCTCTTTTCTTGAGTCATCAAAGTCTAGTGACAAGACAAGTCAGAAGGACTGGCGATTGCCCAGGATGCAATGGGTGACCTTGGTGTCTTTGATGTCTGTTCAAGCTCTAAGTACTCCACAGAGCTTGCTTCAGCTGCCTTCAAGGCTGTTGGAAAAAGTTGTTCTCATCCTCTCATTTCACTGGGAGAAATCTTTACATGCTTGGAGTAGACATCCCCCTAACTCACTGACCAGTCTGAGGCCTTTTGGTTACCCTCAACCTGGTTTAGCCCATGTGCCAAGATGGTTTACCAGGGTGTGGCCACTGAGCATGCTACAGCTTCTTAGAGCCACAGGCAAGAGTTGGGTGAGGATGGACACCAAAGATAGATGAGCAGCCCTGAAAAGGGCTCAGCAAGCCCTCATACCAGGCTACAGTGAGAATAGTTAGGTTCCCTTCTCATACTCTATGGTCATAAGAACCTATACCTTGGTACATTGGGGGGGACATTCTTATAATGTAAGAGTTGTCTTAGATCTAGGGCCTTTCAAAAATAGAAGAACAGAAAGGCATTCAATGTACAATGTAAATCAAGTATGGGACAGGTATTTGTTTCCTATACACAAAAGAAATGCTCAACATAGAACATTTACAAGCACATATTTGACAAAAGCAAACTTGAACAGATGGCAGCAGTACTGTTATGTTCTGCCAGGAATTTGAACCATCTGAATATGAAGCAGTTTGAATAATTGCTGCTTCGGCATTGTACATTCTACCTTGGCTTTGCACTGTCTAAACAAACTGGTTCATGCCTTCTAATAAAACAGGCTGGGCTTGAGCCAAACCTTTCAGTAGTACTTCTTGTTTCCAAGAGTGCTAGAATAATTAATTGCTGGGGACTCCTCCCTTTGCTATCAGTCAGCTCTAAC